AATTATAAAGATTACACTAGTCCGACTTCGATCAAAGTTGCCCAAGCCTCGTGCTTATAAACAAAATTTTCACAAGGCAGAAATTGAAACAAAAGCAAGTTAGAAAGAAAGAGATCTTATATATATATATATATATATGAAAATATTTACAGGGACCGATCAGGATCCTACACAAAAAATTCAAAAAAGAAAACTCCTAAGTGCCTAATTTTTCCCGGGAGCAACATCTTCGTCATTGGGATCTTCTCCGCTCTCGGATCCACTCACGCTCCCGGAATCATCATCATCGGAAGAGACCAACGCTCTGGCTTCAGCTTCAAGTTGTTTTGCATTTTTGATCTCTGTAGTGAGATCGAAACCACGGGCGTGGATCTCCTCAAGAGTCTCTCTTCGAGACTGGCACTTGGCAAGCTCAACAACACAATATGCTCGAGTCTGAGCAGTATCAGCAACTTCCTTCACTCGAGCTTGAGCGGCCTCTGCGTCAGATTGGTATACGGCCACGATTGACTCAGCATCGGCCTTAGCTGTCTCAACCTTAGATTTTGCCACAACAAGCTCTGTGACCAACCGAGCCTAGAGCTCCTCAAATTGTGCCAAGTTACTCTCTTTCATACCTTGGAGCTAGCTTTCAGCCGAGGATAACTGAGCTCGAGCAATCTCTTTCTCTGAGGCAAGGCGGTCCATATTTTGCTTCCACGCTATAGTTTCCGCCTTCACTGCATCTACCTCTCCACGAAGTTGCCCGATGGTCTCGTACAATTGCTGGACCTGTGAGATGGAATTGTTAGCCATCACTCCCGAACTGAGGCCATCAGCTTTTAAGACTTTATTACCTGCTCCGTCAGCTCGCTTTGTCCTTTCTGAGCCGTGGCTAGTTCAGCTCGGAAGCCTTTGATTTCTTCTTCTTTCCGCCCAATAAGAAGTTCAAGGGCACTCTTATCCTCGGTAAGCCCTTGAATATTGGCCTAGTACCGGCTCAGTTCTGCTCAAGATTTGGAAAATGCCTCCTGATAAAGCACCAAAGCCTACACATAGAATGAAAAGAAATTAGACAATAAGGAAAAAGCCCAAATATGATATCAACAAGGGGAATTAAAGCTTACCCGATTCAAAGCCTGTTGTGCCTCATTGAAGAGACTCGGCGCTCCAACCGAATCTTTCCTCGATGCCTCCAAGTCGCTCGAGCCAGCGATAGTCTTCGATCCTAGTAAAACAACCACGGAAAAGGTCTTCCCCTCCAAGGGCACCTTCTACATGAGGAGTCTTCATGACCCGAGCCTCCCGAACTTCCTCTTATGAGAATAAAGGAAGCGAGTGGGAGTCTCCGATTTCTATTGTCCCAAGTAGGTCACTTGGGGCGCTCTCTCTATTTTGAGGAGCCTCAGGACTAGCCTCCACAACCAACTCCGACACCTTCCCACCATGAGGTGGGGTATCTTCGACTCCTTTCGGCTCGGGGACATGGGCTGAAGCCTCTTCCTCGACCTCATCGAGCTTAGACCTGTCAGTATCGGTCCCTATTGGTTCCGAAGCTTTCCGAGCCCCGGTGCTAGCTCGAGTACTGGCTACCAACTCTGAATCATCTTCCTTTTCTTCTTCTTGTTCACCCTCTTCGAGCTCATCTCGTAGCCGGAGGACTGACTCTATTGACAAAGGGATGACATCCCCATACGGATTCGCCTCTTTTTGGGCTTTTGCTCGTCCAAATTCGTGGAGCTCGAGACCTTTTTCCTTTTTCGCTCTTTCTTCTGTTTCGGAGCAGATGGTTGGGAAGGTTCTCTTCATCGATGGGGGCCTCATCGGTACATCCTTCCCGAGACCTGCAAAAGAAAGACAAGTATGAGGAAAAATTCAGACAACGACCAGAATTATCGAGATATGCGAAAACTTACCGTGGCTTCGGGCATCCCGTCGACCCCTCGACAATTCGCTCCATGTGCGCTCAGCGGGTGTCAACATCGACACCAGATTCCTGACCCAGTTCACTAGATGGGGAATCACACCCGGCATCCAGGCAACGACTGCACCAAGTAAAACATCGGTAAGAAAGGATGAAAAAAGAGAAGATAATAAACATGTGGAATCATACTCACGTTTCATATTCCATTTCTCTGGAAATGGCATGCTCTCGGTCGGGGTCAGGTCTGAGGTCTTCACTTGAACAAATCGGCCCATCCAACCCCGGTCCCTATCCTCATCTGTGCTCAAGAAGACCGCCTTTGAAGATCGACGTTGAAACTTTATTAGCCCACCGTGATAAAGTCGGGGGCTATACAAACAAATGAGATGGTCGAGTGTGAAGGGAAGCCCCTCGACTTTGCTCACAAAAATCGAAGCAATGTCACTATCCTCCAAAGAGAAGGATGAATCTGGCCGAGGGTGACCTCGTACTTCTTGCAGAAATCTATATTGATTGGATCTAGAGGACCGAATGTGAAAGAGTAGGTGTAAACACTCAAAAAACCCTTCACATGCGTAGTGATTGACTCTTCGGGCGAGGGCACCACACGTGCTTGTCTACCCAGTTGTAGTCCTTTTTAACTTGTTTTAAAAGGCCACTGGTGATTATGCATATATACCTCGACATTGGCCCGGAACCGAGGAGGTCTTTTCAACTTTGAAATCGCAGTCAAGGACACACGGAGGAGGAAATAATTCTTCAGGGAGTGGATCCGCCGTAGGTTGTTCGCCGGCAGGCTTAGACGAGGAAGATTTTTTTTTCTTCTGCGGCACAGTTTTTGACGTTTTCGCCATTTTGGGTTTGAGTTTGAAGAAAGAAGAAAAAAATAAGACTTGGAGTTTTGAGAGAAGGTTGACAACAAAAGATGTAAAAAACTTTGGAGATTAGAAGAAATTGAAGGTAAAGTTTGAATCAATGAGAAAAAGGCCTATTTATCGATTTCACGGTGACGGTTCGAGACCACTAGTGGACGACCATCAACTGGTACGCATTAAATGCCTGGGGAACTGCATCGACGGGATGTTTCGGTCACCTCTGACGCGTACATCACGGTAGTGACATCATGATAGATCGGGGTAAAGGTCGAAGGTTCAATTCGTTTCTTGTCATTACACTCCAACAAACGAGGGGACTATCCGTATACGTTTAAAATCGAGCCCACCCGATTTTGCTGATTTATCGAGACTAGTGTGAAGGATCGAAGATTGATCCCGTAATGGATCATACCGAGGTACGAGGACAAGGTACCAAGTTCGAAGATTCGAGGTACCTGTTAAGATCGAGACCGCTAGTGATTGAGACCGAATGAGACAGACATCGAGCAAGATAGAAGGTAGCATAAATAACAGAAAGGCGAGATATCCGTGACTGGTTGAAGATCATGGCGAAAATCTCGGAACGGATCAAATCAAGGACGGTTAATTAGCTATTCACGGGATTTCCTTTTGTAATTAGAGTTATACCATAATTAGAATTCCTCTACTATATAAAGAGGAGTTCCAATCATTTGTAAGGGACTTACACTTTGAGACATAAAAGTAACATAACACTTTCTCTTTAGCTCATATTCTTGTTCATCAGCTTGCTTATTTCTTGATTGTTTTGATTACAACCAGTTCGAGGGCACTCTAGCTCTTGCGTTTCAACATTGGTCTGTTCTATTACTAATCTTTACATTTATCAATTGATATTAGGTGAAATCACGTATCCTTAAAACCACATTATAAGTTTGATTGTTATCCAATTTTAACGGTAAACAAACTGATTAAATGAAAAAATATTACCTATAATAATTTTTTTATTATCATAGCTCGAACTCAAAACCTCTGATTAAAGGTAAATCATTAACATACTTTATGCCTCGTTAATGTAGCCATTCGTCGAACATTTGACGAAACCATGCTACCCACTTCGTATAGGATTTGTCCCCTTGACACATCGGTAATCCAACTTCCCTATTCCTATTTTAACTTGGTAGGTTTCTCAATGATGTATGCAAGGACTCTTACTTATATCTTATTATTTCTTCGGAATTAAGCGCTCATGGTATAGTAAAAGTATTCGATTAGAGTATAACAAATCACATTTATTTCACTACAATCCTTATAGTAACGCAAGAGAACTCTTACTATAAATAGACCGATAAAATATGATGGTTGTGGGGTGTCTTTTCTGGAAAATATTACACCACAGGTACTATTTATTTATTTATTTATGTGCATCAAAACAACAACTGCATAATATATACTTATATAAAATTCTATATTAACTTTAATTGAATAATATTTATTTTTATTTTAAATTATTACAACTATGCGTACTATAAATTTATTCATACTATTCCCTTTTTTTCCCTTCAACCCCAGGCCGCCAACGACAATATTTTTTATTTATTACTCCCTCCGGTTCAGTCCAATTTACTTTTTTATTTTGGTTCAAAATAAGTGTCCAGTTATGTAATCAAGAAAAAATCCAATTTGTTTTTACAAAATAACCCCTATGTACATATCCCTAAAAAGTTTTCTTACTCCTCATATTAAATGTTTAATTAGGGATAGTTTAGTCATACTAGGTATTTTTGTATAGGATTTAGTATTTTCTTAATGGACGTGCTAAAAGCAAATTGAACACTTATTGTGAACCGGAAGCTGCGGAGTAGTACTACTATAATAAAAAAGTCGCACTACACGTTCCTCTCTCTCTAACACTAGTAGGGTTAGCCCGGGCTTTGCCCGGGTCCAACACTGACAATGTTGTACTTTTTATTATATATTATGCTACCTTGTCAAGGTAAGGGTAAGAGTGAGTGAATGGATTTTCATTTAACTGTTGGTAGTAAATTTTTATTTTTGAGAGTAAATTTGTTAGTACTAAGCTAAGGTTGGATATTATTTTGTATGGGTATGTGGCGTTGGCTTAGAGTTCTGATGAAAAGGCTTAGTTTGCTTAGCTAATAGTAAATAGTTCATGAAAGCCTGCGTAGTTATTTATACAAAATGTGGAGGATTGTACTGTAGTAAATAACACCACCAAAATCTGCTGGTAAGAGTCAGTTTGCCTAACTATTTATACAAAATGTGAGACATTGTACTGCAGTAAACGGTTCATGAAAATCTACGTACCTATTTACACAAAATATGGAAGACTGTACTGCAGTAAACAACACCATCAAAATGTGCCTTCAATGCAAGTATTACAACCGTGGTAGGCTATCGGGAAAAAATTTGAGCGACCTTTGTTGCACTTCAAATCTGATAACGCATCTACATGAACAACAAAGTGAGAGTTAAGTGTAAAGTAGTAGTTGAGAATATGTAATTTGGACCAAGAATTGATAAGACGTTGAACATAGATTTTGTTTTGAATTGTAAAAGAATTCCAAAATTCTACTGGAGTGTGAGAACCATAGGCAGCTGAAGACGATAAACATTCGGAGACATTTCGCTAATAGGAAAACGGAAGAGAACCATACAGCTTCCGGAGATGATACTCATCTAGCAGACCGATATTCATTTACCTCATCTATTTCTATATTCGCATCATTATTCTGTACAGAAAATGCAATTTTGTCATGTCCTTTACAGATGTACTTATAAAGGTACTTCACAACTTTGATATCAAAGCAAACTTCAACATTTATGTGACAATTGAATTTACCGAGTAAATATGGATTGTATGGGACGACCCAAGAGTTAGCTAAGTCATGACCTCTCACTTTCACAACTTCACCTGTATTTCGTATTCTATAAATTGGATAAGAACCATTTCCTTTTGATATTTGATCAGCAAATATTTTTGGAGACAAAGTGTTTCCAGATATTGTAAAAGCTTATTACTATGTAGTTGAGATGTTTGTGAACTTACTTTTTAGTCCTGGACGATGGTTGTTTGAAAGTGCACCCGATTATCTCTGCTGATTTTGGGGCGGATTTTGTCAACAACGTGTATATTACAAGTCCAATCTCTAGTAAATGGCGTGATTTCATGAATGGTATACCGATGTTCCATCTGTTGAGTATCTTGCAACCTGTGAGGAATGCAATTATAGGACAAAGTAATTGAGCGTGAGGAATTATATAAAGAAAAGAATAGCACTACACATATGAAATGCGAGAACACAGATCAGTTGTGTTATCTTTTGGTCATCTACGTTATTCATACGTTGCAGTGAACCAAAATACTGAGTTATTGGTATCATGACAATTCATTACAGTACCATTAAAACATGTGAATCCGAGTTTACTGCTACTATCCAATAGAAGTAAATAATGTACCAAATTCATTGACTGATAAATAAGTATGTTTGAGAATATCAGTCAAAAGAAAATGCAGTAAAACATTATTTAGTCGTTTCAGGCATATAACACATGGAGACATCAAATGACATAAAAAATAAGATTAAGAAAAGAGTGTCATGCATTATATTCTAGTTCGGTATTTTGTCATTCAAGTCATTCGTAAATCAAGTCATTAACTGTTGGTAATTTATTTATTTAGTTCATATCACATACAGATGTCACTTACTTGCCCCATGTCTAAAATCTTAGAGCTTCTAATACCCTTTGACAGTGGACATTTCCAGGAGGAGGAATGTGTAAATATTCAACCCCAACAATGAACACAATATGAGATAATAATTGCAACATGTAGGTAAGGAACATGCATATTCTCTCCGCACCAATGTGCATTCTAATGGGCAAAATAGAGCTACAACCTATTCTCTCTTCTATGAAAATAGAGCTACAACCTATTCTCTCTTCTATGTGCTTATATACCTTACACCAAACACTGCTTCAACCAAATTTTGCGAAATGTTCTTCGTATGATTCGGTTGTGTTATAAATATTAGTCGAATATGAAAAAAAATTAATTGTTGTACATAGTTCAAGGCAGCAACATAGGGGCTCAACGGGACATTCCCATGACAAATAAGCCGCTAGCCTTGTCAAATTGTCCATATTCAGAGCTTTTGTTACATACATATAAGCAGTTGGCATCAAATAGAATCCAAGATTATCAAAATCACTATCCATAAACTCAACATCAGTGATATCGTAACAACCAAACAAAATAATATAGTTGATGAATCACCATATAATTTTGTAGAATTGGAATGTTGCTACCTTGCTTTGGGTTGACCGAGTAATTTCCCCCGGAATGAGTAGAATTCTAAGACCTCAGTCAAAGATGTCAAGTAATTAACATCAAAGAGCAGGCAATGCAGTCTCAGCTATATAGAGCTGCAACCTGCAAATGCAAGAAGAAATGTGCGACTTAGTAAAATATGAATGTATTTATTAGTCTGCTCCTACACTAATATAACGTAAATAAAAAGCAATAATTCAGTCTAACCTTCGTCGTCTGCAGAAGAAGCCTCTCTTATGGTAAGAGCAATAGGTTTTCGAATCATAGGGTGACATTGGTTACTCTTTTATCCGGAGCAGCTACCGAGTTTATGGAACTATTCCATTTTTGCCGCTCAAGTTCTTTGGTACGGCGTTGTAGTAACATTGCCTCTTTTTTATCAGGCGATATTTGCCTATACGTATCACGTCTTTTGACATTCTTGTCGGAGTTTGTATATTCTGCATATGGTCGTTTGTTTCTTTGGCCGGAACCCATTTTTTCAGAAGCTTATTATTGCAAGAGAACTGCGTTTAGAACATTCAAACCAATAAAAGTGTCAACACACCGTAAATAACAAATTTTATTGTTCATTATACTGGTAAATTATAGAAATCTAATAACCCGTTGGGTTCAGTCTTTCAAAGACCAATTTGTTAAAGAAAGTTAAATACCAGGGGAAAAAATGAAGACAACTTCAAATTCGCATAATAAATCCAAAATAAATTACTATAAAAATAGAGAACAAATCAGAACCCAACCTCAATTTGTTTTCACCTTTCTGAACCGGATCTTAAGACTAAACTGAAGAAAAGATTGGTAATGAAGTTCAAAACCCAAAGATCTGTTTTTTTGGCACAAGAAGAAAAAGTAGAACAAAAAGCATAAATCAAATGAAATGCTGGAGTGATTGGAATATACCTGTTCGTTGTGGTAGATGTGAATCTGAAAAGGTTAACAGCACTAATTTGGTTGAATTATTAGGTGAGGTCTGCTGGGATTTGGGGCACTTAATGCTAAACTTGGAAGTGAATGGTTCTAACAAGTTGTGTTGAATGAATTTTTATCTTGAACAAATTGGGAGTCCACTTGCTGGCAAAGGCAGAAAGAGTCATTAACTATAAGGCTGAGGTGTAAATTAGTGGAATTACGAAACTACCCAGACAAATTAAAAAATTAACGAAACACACGTTGAGGAGAGGTGCCTGTGTTCCCTCTTCTAGTAAGTAGAATTCCGGATCTTTCGCTCTCTGTGTTCGTTTCGACTGTTGTTTGCGCCTGCATCCGCCAAAATCCCAATCTAGAGGTTCATTATCCAATACCCAGATCGAATTTTATAATTATTCAAACTTTTCTGTCAGTATTTAATTCATCATTTTTATGTTAATTCGCTTGTGGTTTTCATTAGGGCATTAATTAGCTAATAAGGAAGTGGATATGTCTGGAATTATTGGTCGAAGAATGGCCAACAGAGGCATTTCTGCTTTGGTGAGAACTTAACTGAGTTTTGATCCTTTTTTTTTCACTTTATATTTTTATTTGTGAATATTGGATTTTTTTTTGGGATTCAGAATATGAACCAGTTCTTGTTGAGAAGCAGGGTATTTGCGTCTAGAAAATTTTCTTCAGCAGCTAAAGAGGTGAATTTTTTAACTTTTATTTTGTACTCCAATACGTTTGTTTGATGTTTAATCTGTTGATAAAAAGTCATTATATTAAAAAAATTTGTAGATGACTGTTCGTGATGCTCTAAATTCTGCTCTAGATGAAGAAATGTCTGCCGACCCTAAGGTCTTTATAATGGGAGAGGAGGTATAAACTTTTTTTTGTGTGTGTATTTTTCTAACTTTTTGGAAGGCAAAACTTGAATTTTTAATTTTAATTCTCTTCAAATTTCTGTGTTGTCTCAGGTTGGTGAATATCAAGGAGCTTACAAGGTTAGATTTTCTTTTTTCACCTATTTTTTTGTGTAATAAAGTTTTCTTTGTTCTTTGTTCTTGACCTTTTTTTTTCTTTTCCTTTTTTCTTTCAGATTTCGAAGGGGCTGTTGGATAAATATGGTCCAGAGAGAGTTATTGATACACCAATTACTGAGGTTGATCCGTGGGCTTCAATTACTAATTAGCTGCTGTTGTGGGTGAATTTGTATGGTTAGGCACTTCATAACATTTTATGTTGTTTTATAGGCTGGATTTACCGGAATTGGAGTTGGTGCTGCTTACTATGGTCTGAAGCCCATTGTAGAATTCATGACTTTCAACTTTTCAATGCAGGTCAGACTTTTGTTCTCTCGGATACTATGTTCTTTTGAATTTTTTAGATAAACGGACATAAATATGCAAAAACCATCTACCAATATCATTCACAGAGGCCCGCATGTGGTAGCTGTCTGTATCAGTTTTAGCTTGTTGAGTGGTATATTTTGTCACAAGCATAACTTGTAAGAGGTTGGATTATGGCATGATATATTTGGAGTCGGATTAATAATTTGAGATGGTATAACCCGTTGTTTCTGAATTTTGTGTCTTATGTGGACTGTATTAAATTTAGTGCAAAGAAATGCAAGCAAAATGCCAAAGGGGGAGGAAGGAGGGGTTAGGTTTGTAGTCTTTGAGGACAAAAGGCGATTTAGTATTTTGGTTTTGAGCCTCTGAGACAGGCTGCATTTATTGAACATTTTCTTCTGCTTGTGCTTTCTCTACTTCTGCTTGTGTTTTATCAGGGGCAATGGATGCCCATTGCTTCTGTAGTCACTAAAATCTTGCAAACAAGAATGCATGCTTTGTTCCTGAATTAGTGTCAACAGTCTTGAATGTAAAACTATGAAGTTAATACTGGGTCCTTGTTTATCTAGGAAGTTAATACATGGTCCTTGTTTATATTGAATGACCGATCATTATGACGCAAGGAGTCTGATGTCTCTTATGGTAATATATAGCTCTAAGATGCACGAAACTGTAGCTTAGTCGTGATTAGCTGGGTTGTCACACATGCTATACGATCAAGTAATTGTTGGCCAAATGGTATATAACTATATGGGGGTCGTTTCCTTCCAAATTAGAAGGAATAGCTTCCTGAATATGTTCTATTAGGAGGAATGGGGATTGTTATTACTTTCTCCTGCTAAGTTTCTTTCTGTATCTTAGTCTTCCTCTTTGAATAAAAAAAGAGGCTCTACTGCATCAGATCATGACATTTTGGTTTCGGCATGTTGGCATCATGTTTGTACAAACTTTTTATATTGTCAGTATTTCTTGAGTTATGGTTTATACCATTTGAATGCTGACCGAAGGCATAACCTTTCTGGAACTCATGCAGGCAATTGACCATATTATCAACTCTGCTGCAAAATCAAACTACATGTCTGCCGGTCAGATATCAGTCCCCATCGTCTTCAGGGGTCCTAATGGTGCCGCAGCTGGAGTTGGTGCTCAACATTCTCAAGTATGTCTGTCAACTGAAATGTGGCTTGTTGTGTTTCCTGGTATGGATGTTGGAGTTCCTGTAAGTTAGGTTAAACCAAGCTAAGCATCACGTGAGCTTATTGTTAAAAGCCTAAAAGGTGCTGCAGTAAATATTTAATCTTTGTTTGAAACTGAAAGTTATTGTGTGCCAGTTAATGGATCGGCGGATAATCTGGAATAGCAATGTTAATATTGATGTTTTATACTGGTTTCTTGGTTTCTATTGGATGTGTAAAAAGTTGTTGCCTTCAGTTAAATCTTCTACTCAATGTGGTATTTTTTGCGTTCATTCCAGTAATGAGTCAATAGTGACGTGGTTTAAGTTAGCCTGGTGAAATACAAGTAATTGTTACTTGGTTTAAAGGATCAATGAGACAGCATGTCAACAACTTGTGAAACAGCATTGTACATTAGTCTGACCACAATCCTTCTTCAACCTGAAGTTGTTTTGAGACTAACATCTGGGTGACAGGATGTTAGAATTTGTCATTTTTGCATTGAGGTGTTCTCGCATGTTTGTATGTCATATGCATCTAAATTACTATAAGCCTAATGGTTCTTCCATTTGTCATTTTTCCAGTGCTATGCCGCATGGTATGGTGCATGTCCTGGATTGAAGGTGCTAGCTCCATACTCTTCTGAAGATGCTCGCGGCCTGCTAAAAGCTGCTATCAGGGATCCAGATCCTGTTGTTTTTCTGGAAAATGAACTGCTGTGAGTTGCATTGCTGATTTAGCTATTCAAGTGATACACTTTTCTGCTTCTAATATCTATCATCATCATATGACTTGAATGATGCAGATATGGTGAGTCTTTTCCTGTTTCAGCTGAATCTCTTGATTCTAGCTTCTGTCTTCCCATTGGAAAAGCTAAGGCAAGTGCTGCTTTCTGTCATTGTTTCTTATATTTATATGTTGCTGCTGTTCCTTACTTTACAAACATTGGCAGATAGAACGTGAAGGAAAGGATGTCACTATTACTGCTTTCTCAAAGATGGTCGGTTATGCTCTTAAGGTTTGTCTGTCTTTTTGTATCACAGTGTTTGAGTTTTTCGGAACACATCACTGATTAATCCTGTTCTGCAACACATGATCCGCTTCTGTATTCTGAATTTCATCAAAAACTAAAAATTGGTCTGATTTAGTACTTCATATTAGATCTTGCACAGAGAATGCATAGCATATCACTGTTTCTGGCTATAATCATTCATTTCCACATAACTATATCACGTTTGAATTTTGAAGGCTGCTGAAATTCTTGCAAAAGAAGGAATTAGTGCTGAGGTATGTGAGACTCCAGGAGTGCATATTCCAGTTTTACCTTTAAATTTTAAAATTTTAATATGCCGAAAACGTTCCAGCTTTCATTTCACTTTTCCTTTTTGTCTTTCTATTTTTTTGGGGTCAACAGGTCATAAATTTGCGCTCTATCCGTCCACTTGATAGACCCGCCATTAATGCGTCCGTGAGGAAAACCAACAGACTTGTAACTGTAGAAGAAGGGTTCCCACAACACGGTGTTGGAGCTGAGATTAGGTTTACACAGACTTCTACCCTGAATCTATTTTAATTCTGTGTGACAACCACCATAACCCCCCCCCCTCCCACTCCCACTCCCCCCCAAAAAAAAAAACGCAAAGAAAGAAAGCAGAAAAGAGCTTTATTTTGTTCCTGTTTTTGGTCAATCAAGCTTACTAGACTATAAATTCTTTTTGTATCAGTGCATCTGTGGTGGAGGAAAGTTTTGAGTATCTTGATGCCCCAGTCGAGAGGATATCTGGGGCTGATGTTCCTATGCCATATGCAGCAAATCTTGAAAGGATGGCTGTCCCACAGGTTAGTACCCACCCTTTTTTCCTCCCTTACCGGTAAATAGGAGCAGCTTTCAGATGATCCTAGTTATGGCTTGTGGTAAATTTGGCAAATATGACCATTAACTGGGTGGACGAGGGTGCTTTATTGACCCAAAAGGGGGTTGGGGAGGAGGGTGAAAAGAAGACATGAGAAGCCGTTAAACTGTCTGTTCTCTAGAATGATGGCACAACTGAATGATGTTGAAAATTAGTGATGATGGTGCTTTATCAACCCAAAAGGGGCTGGGAGTGGGGGCAAAAAAAAAGACATGAGAATCCGTTGAACTCTCTGTTCTCTTACAGTGATGGCATAACTGAATGATGTTGAAAGATTAGTGTTTGATGTACCTTGGAAAGAGGGGTAAGGTCTGCGTACATTCTACCCTCCCCAGACCCCACTAGTGGTAGTTGGGATTCTACTGGGTTGTTGTTGTACTTCGGAAAGAGGATCTGCTGGTAGAGCCGTAGAAGATAGTATTCATATCATACTAACTAATGCAGTGTTTGCCACATCTTATCATTTGTAGCATAGGGAGAAGAAAATGGAAAAAAAAGTTTGCGACAAATTACTGAGAGAATAACACAAGTGTATGCAAGTTCATGAAGTCTATCATATCAACTCCAGAAAAAGGGTCATATGTCATGAACACACAGACAACTATATACGTGTGAACATTGAAAGTGTAAAGGTGTTCACATAAGAACAGTGGATAAACCAAGAAGCTCATAGGGAATAGATTTATTGGTGAATTGCTAATAACAGTTGACATCACTGGTTGTCTTGCCTTCTGAAATATCTGAATCTGCCTGTACAGGTTGAAGATATTGTTCGTGCAGCAAAGAGGGCATGTTACAGAGCAGCAAAATCAGTTCCAATGGCTGCAACTGCCTAAGCTTGGTAGAAAGAAAGCCTACCAAGCCAGTCTTAAGCATTTTATTTCCTCTTTGTGGATATTGATTGTTTATCTGTCTGTGAGTGGATGCTTCTGGCTATACCATCCCCTGAGAAGTTTAGTTTAACCATGAAAAAGGAAGAAGAAGAAGAAGAAAAGCTATAGTGAAACTAGAATAGTTAGTGATATCTGAAATAAAACTTGTAGAAAATAAATTTTGCCGGTTCTTTGCTCCTTTTCACTGGTGTTACCAAATGTTATGTAAGATAAACATATACTTCTACTGGTAGAAGAGCAAGTAGTCGATCTCATTGCATACTTCGTTGCTGAGTTTCAACTGCTGTTGGTATTAAATGGTTCACAAGATCAAACTCTACGCTGACATGTATAATTTGATCTATTCTTGTTGTATTAGTATTTGCTAGCAGCAAATCCGGGGAATTCCTAACGAGTTGATCAATAACACCCATCCAGTTTTCGAAGAGAATTGGGCTTGCAAATGACAATATATCACTTGGTGTAACTTTTTAAGTTTCTGCTTATTGAATAACCTAAAGATTATTCTACTAGTATGAGATTTTGACGATTTACATGATTGGCGTGAAAAATTGGGTAGCTCAAGAGGACAAATTTTTATCAAAGGGGGAAAATGACTTCCCTCAGTTGTAGGATGGTAGTTATTTTTCATACAACTCTCTTAACTTTCTAACGTTATATTACTTGCTTCAACTGAACACATAAGCATTATTATTAATCCTAAGAATTCAAAAGTTTCATCAAGATGCTCTTCAATTTGCTAATATTATGATCAATCTTTAATATATATATTTCTTTCTGGAAAATGTTTTCCACAAAATATGTCATAATCGTAATCAAGCTTTGTAACTTGTGTATTTAAAGAAAATTGTTTTGAGTTAATTTCAGGCAACTACCAGGGTGCGGAACAACTTAGAAATTCTTAGCATAAGAACGCCCAACTCTACAAAGAGACGAAAGTAAAGCTGAAAGAATACGAGCAACCAATGAGACAAAGAACAACAACGTAAAGGCTGCAATCAGATTATGAGTTGCAACTATACAATGGATGTTGGGTGTAAATTATAACCCCAAATCCATGTGATACATCTATTTCGAATCATACACAAAACTGTAGAATAATTACATGGAATACAATAACAAGCAAAAGGGAGGCTGCATGTACCGAAAACAGGAAAGAAAATCCCCTTTGAAGCCACAAAATTTATTGCTTTGGGAATCTTCCTCTCATCTATGGTGACTAAATGTCTCCGAAACAGAAGCTCTACCCCTCAGTCTCATATCTATAGATAGCCTAACAGAAGATGGAAGGAATGCATGGATAAGCTTACGTGAAGGAGCCATGTGAGGCTCTTCTTTCTTATTTCTCCTCTGCCTCGACGTCCCAGCTGTAGTTTTTGTACTTCTCGAAGATCGTGATTTTGGATCAAAATTTGATGAAGTAAAAGAAGCATCAGCTACACTGAATGATACAGGACCGTTGTGTGATGCATCAAGAGGGTATCCGACTGCTCCATCTTGATGTGGCGGAGGAAATTTCTCACTCTTGCTCTTAGCATTGGCTTGTGTCATCACTCTCCACCTCTGGAGAAAAAAAGTGGGATGAGTATGACGAAAATTGACAGAGAAAAGACTAGTAGGCAATAAAGGAGTTAGGATGTAGGCAAATGAGTACTAACAGTGGAAAACAAAGAGATTTAGGAGGAAATGGACTGATGTTTTACACTATTTAGAAGCATCAAACAAGAGCAACACTCCATATCAGAGTTTAAAATTGCAACAAACATAATATCAGATGACAAACGAACTTTTGCTCAACTCTTTGACGGTCCCATCCTCTAATATAATGAGCAACTTCCATTACATGAAGTGACAGTCAAGATTATAGACAGAAGCAACATGCAGATTAAGGAGAAAATAAAGTTCGTCTCACTTACATCTAAGTTTGGTTGGAGCTCTGCATTTGCCTCTGGAGCTGGAATTGCGCGGCTAACTTTCTCACGAATTCTCACCTTCCTGGTGCCATCGACAGCTTGAGCTTTTCCGTGCAAACCTCTTTGCCTATAAAGAAGATAGGTCTCAGTGGATGACAAGCCAATGGTGAAAAAATATTTCAATATTGATTAAAACACACCTCCTGGCCACTTCGTCTCTCAGTTTTACATCCATTTCCTTGCTCGGAGGATACTTTGGCAAACTTGAAGGCTCACAAGGATATGGCTCAGTTGTAAAGAACTGTAGATTACAAGTACTAATATCAGAAATAGAATACAGCAACTCATTTGTACAACTTAAGATCTAAGCACATGTGAGCACAATGCAGGAGTAGAGCTAGCGCTTCGGTTAGGGGTTCGGCCGAATCCAGTAGCTTTGGTCCAAACCCTGTATTTGTCTTAAGAAATTTATTGAATATGTACAAATTATTAATTAGAACCAGTAACTTAAACGGAGTAGAATTCCGAACTAAATAAATGACGCTTTGAAATCAGAAAGAAAAGACAGGTTAACAGCGGAGCAGAGCATGGCATCAACTAAGCTACCTCTAAGGTATAACAGCATCTTTTTTCAAGATTATCAGATGACTTACTTCGCTGTTCAAAGCTGAAGTTGCTGTGCCTCTTTCATCGGGATCAATAGCAAGAAGTGTTTCAACCAGAGGATGTGAAGAGGGTGGAAAATCCTTGAATGTGTCGGCAATGCAGCGTTTATAAGGTTGCTGTGGTTTAAAAAGAGTAGCATTTGGTAACTTGAATTTCTTCCAATATTCGTCGGATGGAGAGCCACACAACTTAAATATTTTGTGGAGTTGCTCAACCTAAGCAGCCAAAGAATGTCCAAGTGAGTCACTTTATCTTGACATCTGTGCCTCAAGAAAGTAAATAATCAACTGAACAAACCTAATTATTTGCTTCAGAATAAAAAAAATTATGTAGCTTGAAAGTCAGTTTATTAATTTGGGCAACCTAGAACGTAAAGTATCAGAGTCTCAACAGCTGATTTTCTGGATAATAAGAAGTCGGCCTTATATCAAATGTAGAAAGTCACACAAAGAGTAAAACACCTCTGTTCGGCCTGGCATTATTGGTTTCCCTGCTAGTAACTCAGCTAAAATGCAACCAGCACTCCACAGGTCAACACCAACACCATAACGAGTAGCTCCAAGAAGAAGTTCAGGTGGGCGGTACCAGAGAGTCACAACACGACTAGTCATAGGCTGCTTGTGTTCAGGATCATAAAATGCAGCCAACCCAAAATCAGCTATTTTCAGAATCCCTTCATTATCAATTAGCAAATTGGAACCTTTTACATCACGGTGGAGGACCCCATTATTGTGACAATGCTCTAGACCAGAGAGTAACTGTTTCATGTAGCATTTTACCTGCAATAATATATGAGCTAGACAACTTAGCTAGTCACTAATAACAGACAATTCACCCAGGTGTACAAGGAAATGTTGAATGAACATCTCAGTCTGAAACTAGTTGAGGAGACAGATAAATCATCAACCAGATAACTTTATTTTGAGATGGATCGTCAACCAGATAACTTAAACAATAATGATCCATTGTTTCAAGACAACGTACTTGAGAAATGCAGAGACTATGATCTAAACAGGATTTTCAGCCCATACCATTTGCATAACTAATAGTACAAGTAATATATCCAATTAGGATTTCTTTATTCATCATCCAAGAAGAGCATGTAAAGAAAATTCCATATGCCTTTTCAATACATGAAACTGAGCTAACTCAATATCTTTTATGTTTCTGCATACAGATCTACTAAAGCAGAACTATCGTTCAAAAGAAATTTTTACGTTAAGATAAAACAAATTGTGATGTAATCCCTTTGCTGACTGAGTAGATGGAAAATTTCTATACATCGAATACACCATTATTTCACTCAGTAGCACTATCTAAAATGAAATATCTGCAAACAGCTCAACATTGGATTCCCAAAAACACCATGATCTGGCCCAATGGCCTAGAAAAGACCAGCAGTAACATCAGAAAGCACAAGAATGAAAGCTAGAAGACAAACAACATTCTATAATTAGAGAAGATATACCAGGTTCCATAACGAAAGGAAACCAAATTACATACATATAATAACAAAACAAAAGTAAGTGTTTTGGCAGAGTAGTACCAAATTAGGCTATACTAATAATCAGGTAAGGGTACTGTTTTTGAGGAAACCAACTGTGTGACTAATACATTAGACAAAATCCAAGAAAGCAGTTAAACACACAAGTGTGTTTAACTACATCGACCAACGACCTTATTCTGAAGGTGAAAAGAGATGGTAGTAAAACCTGTGGTTCAGTGAATTTGACTTTTTGAACAGCAGCTAGTCCAGCGAGATCGTGCTCCATGTACTCAAAAACTAGGTAAAGACTAGAAGACATTCTTGAAGTAACCAAACCTTCAAGTTTGATGACATTGGGATGGTTCAGTTTTTTCAAAACAAGTATTTCTCTTGCCATGAACTTCACACTCTCTGGCTCCAATGTATCAAACCTAACTTTCTTCAATGCAACAATCTTCCCTGTTATCAAGTCCCTTGCTTTATATACATTGCTATATGTTCCTTGCCCAATCTGCATTACACACATTAAAACAGGCAAACTTCATTGGCGGATCTACATAGGCTCTTGTGGGTGCTTAAGCACCCACTACATTTGATAATATTTAGTAATTTGCATAGGCAATTATAAAAATATTTAGATAAATATTGAGTAAGCACCCACAACTAAATTAATTTTTAGAATTTTAATGGGCGAGCACCCATAACTTTGAAAACCTGGATCCGCCACTGGCAAACTTAACAACTAAAGTACAACTACCAAAGCCTAAAGTATCAATTCCTTTGCAGTCCACCCCTAGGCTCTAGAAATTGAACATTCCTTTTGCAGCACATCAAGAATGTATTAAAAAGCTTCCCCTTAAATGGGCCTTAGGCGGCGTGAATCTAGATTAGTCGGAGCAACAATGCGAGTATCGGTGTCAAAAAAGAAAAAGAAAAAGAATGTACTAAAAAAAGTGCAGCTTTAATATCTTATACCTCGCGAGTGGCAAGTTGTACCTTCCCCTGACATTATTACTTAGTATCAAAGAATTCATTATTATTGCGATACAATTAAGGAACATTATTACACACACGTATAGTTAACATTTCCCACGGCAAAAGTACTGCATGAAAGCGCAGTACATTGCGCTGAAGTAGTAGTACCATTTACCTTATCGAGTTTCTCGAAGGTATTAGCTCGACGAGGAGTCCAGTCTTTTATTGCATCTCCGGCGACGGCAACAAGCCACGCCGGCCACCCTTGCTGCTGATTTATCTTGAACGAGTTTCCCGATATTCTGTGACTGTAATACTCCGGCACTGACGGCGCCGGCGCCGTCGGTGGAGGTTGAGTGATCTTGGCATCAACCTCCGGAACCCCAACACCATCGGAAGCATTCGAATTCTTGGTTCCCCGGCGGGATTTTCCGGCAGCTATTTTTCCAAGAACACATCCCATAATCAGTATTAAAAAAAATGAAGTGTTCAAGATTTAACCAGCCATTTTTGGTGAATATTCAGAAACAAGAATGAAAAGGGTGTTAAAAGAAAACCAGGCAGATGAAAACAGCTACTGGTTTTTAGCTTGCATTTATTGCAAACTCAGTCTTTATGATTTGATCAATGGTGATTTTTCAAACCCTCTGTACTCTATAGCTCTCTCTACATACTACTACTGCAGAGGTGGATTGGGTTACGGAGTTTGGGCGGGGGGGGGGGGTGTTAAAGCCACTGTATGAAGTGAAAAGGGGGTCAGTTTTTCAGTTGAGGGGACTTTGGTTTTTTTCTACTAGTGACTTTTTTATGCTTTATATGATATTTGTACTGATTAGTCTGCGTCAAAAATTAGGTCAAGGTGTTTGTTTGATTAAAACTAAAATGTTAAACATTGGCAGTCACGAACTGCAAAGTCAAAGGGTGGGGGATGGTTTGGGCAAAGACATGCAAAGAAAAATGCAACCTTCTATACTAAGGAACTTTTGACTTGTTTTTTCATTTATTTGTGGTTTTTTTGGGAGTTCAATCATCATTTGTCAAACATGTTTTTCTAATTAATGACATGATAGATAGTGAAATTAGATTTATTTAATGAAATGAGAAAATTAAATGATAGAGCAAGTTTTATTCTACTTATTATCTATATAGATGCCTTGTTGACTCTAAGATCACCATGGATATTACATATTAGTGTTTCATACAGTTAGTTGTGATATACTTTCTCAGTTTCCATTTAGATGGCACATTTCACGTATCGGATATTAATTTGACTAAACTTTGAAACTAAATTAGATAAGTTCAACTCAATATTTTAAACATAAAATTAAGATATTCAAAAACTATACAAAAAGGATAAAAAATACTTTTTAAAATGTTGGTTAAACTTCACACAGTTTGACTCTCGATAAGCAAAATATGTCATCTAAATTGAAACGAATGGAGTAATAATTGAAATCATATGTACTTATTTATGATATCTACTTTAGTACAGTATTTTTTATTTTAGTACTAATGAGTTTCAGATACTTATCAACTACTTTTAATCTTTTAAGTCAAAAAGACTATGTGTGACATTCCTCTCGCACATAATGGGTTAATGAAACTACACTGAGTTTTATGTTTCCATTTTACATTAACTATAATGTCCAAGACTGATTTTTGACCTAATGGAAAAGACTCATGGAGAGCAATTGTTCATATGTCCATAATTAGAAATTTTTACTGTTTACTATATGCAATATAATAAACCAATTTTTACTAGTGGCCAAGGTTCACAAGAGAAGAGCTTGGAGAAAAATAGCACAATATCTAAGAATGTTAAGTTTATTAATACTTGACACCACATTACATATTATAGTAGAATATATTGTAAAAATTTATATATCCCACAGGCCACAAATTATATAGTAGACTTTGGACTCTTGTAATTAAATTGAATGAACAAAGCAATAGATAATGGCGTATATATTGGTCAGAATCTCACCTACCACTCTGTACATATTTAAAAATAGCATCTTCTGCATTTATTACGATTTACGAGCAACGGTTTTTGGGTGAGGGTACCAATTGAAATCGGGCCCTCTCATTTTAATAGTCCCCAGAAAATATAATTTTGTAAAATACTTAAATTATCTTATTTTCTTTATCGCAAAAATATAAGGTCAAAAATTTTATTGGGGTTGGCCGTTGGAGTAAGAACGTTCATTTGTCTGGGCATAGCAAAATATGCTAGATATGTTTTTAATTAAAATACAAACTCAAAATAATGCTGAATTCAACTTTAAGAAAAAATTGACATGCATCATATTCATTGTTTAGTGTAGAAAGTCGAGAGAATGTATAATCTTTTCTTCCGTACAATTTCATTCATTATTTAATATATGCTGTAATAATAAGAAATTAAGGAACATGATGCACCTCTTACTTATATTCTCCTAATAAATGATGTTACTTATAAAAATAACAACTGACGGACTAAATACTTTTATAAATGAAGAAGTCTCTTTAAAATAAACTGTGTTGACTATTAGGTCGAAATTGTGAACTAAAGTTGTTTCTGTATTGGTAAAAATTTGACCATGCGACAGCCACGGAGCCGGCCCCGTCCTAACCAACTTATAACGAATGGTCAATGCAACTGACTTAAAACTCATGACAACTGTTCTTAAGGCGGACAAGGGGGTCACGGCCCTTTCGCGACAGGAGGACGTCTCCTCGACTAAACTACGACGGCTCGTGACCTGTTCACAGAGCTTGAGGCTATAAATACCAAGAAAGAGAACCTTCAAAGGGGGGCTTCTTCTTCAACTGGGCCAGAAACCAGAAAAATGGCAGTATACGCTCCATGAACGGGGTGGTGAACAAGATAAATGTAAGATCCTGAACCTCTCTAATGGGAGGCAGGTCAAGCTACTATGATGAATAAAACCCCGTCTATTCCATTCCCCAATGGATGATTCATACATCTCAAATTTGTCTTCTGATTCAGTGATTAATTATGATTGGCTATGATTTATCCGTTCATTTCTTTCGATTGATTTGCTTAAAAAGTATCTGATAACTTTTGAGTCAAATAATTTGGCGCCGTCTGTGGGGATTTCCTAGCGAAATCACATAGTTTCTTCCTGGATCGAAGCCAAAGGAACGTCCAAAAAGAAGGCAATCCAACTCGAACAAGCCAAAGGAAGCGCATCGAGCACAGAATACTCGAATGCATCAAAGGAAGCTAAGATCCTCTGCCCAGTCAATCTTGAAAAATCCCAAATGAGAAGAAGAAGCCCCCTTCTCCCTCAGGACAGAAGTGTGAAGCGTTCCCCTCACCCCTAATGCGGTGCAAGGCCGGAAACCGGCACAGGAACGTTTCAAGCTAGGGATCGAAAATCACCCAGAAGCTTCGCCATCAAGATAAGTTCGACCTCAGTCGAACTGGGACTAAGGCTAAGTGCCTTCGCCATCAAAGTAAGTTCGACCTCGCTCGAACCAAGAATAAGGCTAAGTGCCTTCACCATCAAAGTAAGTTCGACCTCGCTCGAACCAATAATAAGGCTAAGTGCCTTCGCCATCAAAGTAAGTTCGACCTCGCTCGAACCAAGAATAAGGCTAAGTGCCTTCGCCATCAAAGTAAGTTCGACCTCGCTCGAACCAAGAATAAGGCTAAGTGCCTTCGCCATCAAAGCAAGTTCGACCTCAGTCGAACTGGGGCTAAGGCTAAGTGCCTTCGTTATCAAGGCAAGTTCGACCTCAGTCGAACTAGGGCTAAGGCTAAACGCCTTCGCCGTCAAAGTAAGTTTGACCTCGCTCGAACTGAGAATAAGGCTGTGCCTTCGCCACCAAAGTAAGTTCGACCCCGCTTGAATTGAGGATAAGGTCAAGTGCCTTCGCCATCAAAGCTAGTTCGACCTCAATCGGGCCGAAACTGTGGCCAAGCTTCCTCGCCATAAAATGACAATTCCACCTCACTCATATCGAGACGAAGGGGAAGAACCGTCATCAGTTAAGGGCTGATACACCAACCCCCGTCAAACTCAAAAAGTCGACACTTCAAGTTTGCAAAAAAAGAAAGAAAAAGAAGGTACGAAATAGGCGCAAGACAAACGACGAAAAAGAAAATTCATTTATCCACAAAGTTGAGAATGCGGGTCATCCCCGCTTACACCCGGCCAGGGCCGGTCGACATAAAAAAAAACGAACAAATTCTTTCACTCGGCGCCATCCTCGCCACCACTCGTACTATCGTCAGCCTCGGGCGTCGCCACATCATAACCACACTCAGCACGGGCCTCACGAGCCTTCTGACGTGCTACCTCGAAAGCCGCCTCAGTCACTGTACCTGCCTCCCACAAGTTCTTGAAGATATCACGTTGAGCTTCAGCATAGACCCAAATGTCATGAGCCTGGTTGGGAACGGCAGTGTGTGACGACCCAACTTGGTCCTGCAGTCGCTGGTTCTCCTCCTCCAAGACCGCAATTCGATCCGACAGAACTTGGGCCTCCCGGTCAAAGACACTAATTGGCTCCTCGAGCCCCTCTTCCCTGAGGGCCGCAGTAGTCCTCTCCGAATCTCGTTCAGCCTCATGAACGCGGATCGCCTCCTCCAACGCCCTAGCCCTCGTCGAGGCATCCCTCTCCCGAAGATTCAAGGCAGCAATCTCGCCCTCCATCTCCGCCAACTTCCCACTCCACTCCACGGCCATCTCCGCCGCCTTAACCTGGTTCTGCTCCGCCTCCAATTCCATCTCCCTCAACTTATCCCGCAGATGCGCACACTCAGCGGCAATCCCCTTTCCCACCTCGAGCTCCTCATCCTTCATACGAATTTGCTCTTCAATCTCGCTTTTGCTACCAAGCGCCTGCAGCAGCTCTCGATCCCGCTTTTCCAGCTCCTCACCCAGAGCTCGGTTACAAGGATTGTTCCTCAATCGCCCGTGCAGCTCTCGGCACCTGTCACGATAACGGCAATACTTTCCGAACATCTGCATAAAGATCCTCGAATGGACATTGGCTCTGCGGATGCTCTCCACCTCCAGCAAATAAGTCTGCAAAACAGAGAGAACAATTAAAACTAAAGCCCAGGCTAAGACAATGAAGGAACAGCTGGGGTCGCGCTACGTACCCTCAGGCCCATCACGGCCACTTCATTCATCACCTCAACATCAGAAACGCTCCTCAGGGATGCGTTCTCGGCCTCCGAACATAACAACTCAAATTGCGACACCAAGCTACTTCCTTGGGTCAGCAGGTTCAGATCTGAAGAAACTTCAATAAAATGGGTCGGCCCCCATGCGCGAACCGCAGAGTTGGTAAAGCCCTCCTCAAACATACGGACGTCGTCGGGGTCCAAATCAGACTCAGACTCATACTCGTCCACCACATCCTTTCCCCTCTCCGCCGTCGATAGTCCAGAACCACCCGCCGTGGTCGACGAAGGTGCATTCAAAGTCTCAACGGCGACCCCCTAGAGATTGACCTTCCGCCTCAGCAGCAGGAATTTCCGACCGGGTCTCCAAAAGAGAAACATTCGCTTGGCTTAAACTGACGGGGGCAACTTCAACTAACTGCCCCCTCCCAACGGCAGGCGCCACAACAACTTCTCCCTCTGACTCCGTTACTGGAGAATCCAAATTGATTACCGTTGGAGGAGCCGCCACAAATGCTACCCTCCGCCTTTTCAATGGCCCTTCTTCCTCTCCGGTTGGTGGCGAGTCAGTTTGAGGGCGGGTGGCCCCAGATAGCCCCACGTCCTAAGACACGGACCGTGTCGGAGAGGA